AAAATATCAATTTCATTATGCTTGCTACAAACACTTCTGAATGCTAGACATAGCAATTTAATGCATTATTTTATATACATATTAATGATGCTTTAAACAAAGATTCAAAGTTAATGTAAGTTTTTGAGATATGATTAATTGCACAAACTTACATTAAAGTGTAGTAGATATTTCTGAAACATTGATATCAGCATTGTCTGCAAAAATGAATTGGGTATGTTGGTTTTCACGTAATCGTATTTCAACGATCGAATCAGTGTCTTTCGAATAAACAGTAAACTCATTTTTCAAACAGTTTGAAGAAAGTTCCCGCTGTAAAATTTGTAACAGTGTTTTACATTATAACTCCTCCTTCCTGATCACTAATTTTTACCACGAGCACAAGCAGTCTTGATATATTTCTATGCTCTTGACTAGAATACTGACAATCTGGCGCGAAAACAGTGTTCAGGTGAGCGATGTGGCCCATGGGCCTCTTGTTGATACCTATTAAATGAATTTGAAGAATTTAAATACCTTGTTCCTGTGTTAGTTTCTGACCATTCAGGAAGACATCCAAATCCTCAGCTTTAAGGTTAAAACTGGCAAGGTATGGAGGAAAAAGAAGTACATCCAGTATCTGCTTTCCAATTTCTCCATTCTCCAAATCCCGTCTGTAAAGGTCATATCCTCTCGCTGAACTAAAAGATATCATAAGAAGTAAACTGCCTTCAGAGCTCACTAAATGAGCATTATAATTTTTTTCTAAATACATGATAAATTGGAAAAATTTCCCCAAGATTTCCATTCTTTTTTCTTCTTGTACATTGGCTATTGCTATTATCTTTTGTGTAAGTTCTTCAAAAAATGGATCAGAAGCCAGTCTTGAGCTTTCTTCCTTTTCTTCTTTCATGAAGTGTTCTATTGCTTTATAGAGTCGCTCTATTTCGGATTCAGATGACTTTTCATGTATGCTCTTTACCATGACATTCAAAATGAAGACGCTGGTCTTAATTAATTTATCTCCAAATTTCTTTTTCTGAGGATTCTTGGTTTCAATTCTTACAGTTTCTTTTGATGACAACTCTACAAAATAAGACCAAAGCTGAAAAAATGTAGCAAAAAGTTAATATTATGCAGTGAAAATAGAACAGATTGAAAAAATTTAATTACCAGTGCATGAAATAGTGTTCATATAATCACCTTTTTCTTTGATAATTGTTTGTAGCAATTCTCTGGTACTTTTTTCACTCTCAATTAGATCTTTAATTTTATTCATATACATATTTTCTGCAGCTGAATCAATGGTACATTCTTTAGCAGTCTGTAGACTTTGTGCGTAATTTTTCCCCAGCAAGACTTGCATTCTATTGCAAATATCAGAAATTGTAGACCAATATTCTTTGAACTCCGTTTCTGATATAGAAAGCACAGAAATATGACCATACACATTGTTCCTTATCAGACGAATTCGTTCAATGTCATCACCAAGAGTCGTTTCACTTTGTTCCGGCATTTCTGAAATTCCCCATCCTTTGGTAGGTTTGGGAATATTTGGACAGAGATTACGCAAAAGTGTATATAAAAGGGTGATATCAAAGTCTTTATATCCTTGGGTCTTGGCATTGTTAATTTTATCTATTTGATCTGCTCCAAGCTTTTGAAAAAATCTTTTATTTTGTTTCACTGTATTGAATATCTGACTAGGTGGGATTTCATTTGTTAGTACATCTTGTAACACGGGTGTTAGCTCCTCAATGATGACCAACCCCAGTCTGAAAAACCTTGTCCTGTCATCGGGGGATGTTGGTTTGCTCAAGGCCATTCTAAAAATAAAAATACTTTCTGAATTTTGAGACTGTGGATCATTAACTGGCAAGATTGTAGCTTACGTCATTTCCATCTGCTAGAATCAAAACATTGAATCAATCAGATTCTAAATAATTAGGTGTTAGATCTGCTTGCATACCCACTACACTAACATCTAACAACATCCCATAGAGGGTCACGTCAGAGGTCAAATTCGGAACAACTCTTGACTATTCATTTCAACAAATGTACAATGATTTTGCATGTGACAATTTGATTGGTTGATAGATAAATTTGACCTCTGACGTGACCATCTATGGGATGTTTTTAGATGTTAGTGTATAGCAAGAATTAATGCTTGTAAAGTAGACCCTGATTACCAAAGACAGACTTCCTGTGTAATGCTACGTGTATATAGATTTTTGACATCTTGGATATTGGGGGTCTCCAGGTAAATAACACCACAGTTACTTAGATCACTCCTCCTCCTCAGGTAACCGTACGGTAAAAAAGATGACTTTTTAAGAAGCAGACTTTGAATACACCTGTACAAGTGTCGTATATGGATCAACAATATGTTTTTTTTTAATATCTCTATATTTACATTTGCAAATGTTTTCTTTTATGTAACACTCATAACTTGAAACTAAGGCCTAGGATTATCAAACTTTGTCAACTGATACTTCTTGGGTAGACGGTGTGTCGCGCGCAAAAGGTAGGTAGATGTGCTTATGGATAAATGTTAGACATAATTTCTCTGTGACATCATAAGTAAACTATTAGACCGCTTTCAAACTTGGCAAATGTATACATCTTGGGTAAAGTATGAATCAAGGTCACTGTGAAATTTAAGTGAAATATTTTTTAAAAAACTAAGTCTTTTAAATTTTGAATTTCATAATCCTAAAAATGTAAAAATTTAGTTGTATCCTTATTAAAAAAGTGTTCATCATAAATACTTATTTTTTTCAGCATATACTTGGCAGCAATCTATAACAAATATAATGTATGTTAGAGAAATCCCATATTTCTCCCATGAGTGTAATTATCAAGCACTGATCAAGAGTTTTTAACAGAAAATTCATTACATTAGAGAGAAATTAATGAGTTTAGTGTGAACAGCAATAATAATCTATATCTTGGGAATTCCTAAGCCTTGGATTAAAAATAGCTCTTGTTGGCTAGCCTAAGTTTTAAAATGAATTGGAAAAAAAAACTACTTTGATATTGCATAATAAACTAATCTAATAATATATTATATTATTAATTTAAAATATTATTAATTTAAAAAACTAATTTCATAGGGGTGGAATCAGCATGTCCATTTTCCATAGAAAACCTTTCTACATTATTAAATGTTAAAAAAAAATCATGTGTGTATTTTAAATTATATGATTTAAAAATATTTTATGTAGGGGATTCATTAATCTATAGTCCTGGTCTATATAGATAATTAATGTTCAATTTAGGAAGTCAAGGTCATCTTTTTATCTGTATCCTTTAAATTCCCTAGGAAGATTTAAATGCATATGTTATTTGATGGCAATTTTTTGCAAATTAATTTGGTATAAATGTAATTGATATTGTTTAATACATGGCAAATGATAGGTCTAATACAACCAGTATGGAAATCAATAATGATGTTATTTGTTAATTTGATTAATGCCTACACCACAGAGGATAAACAAATATATAAAGAATGCAGAAAAAATTATTGTGAAATTTTAAAAGCAAGGTTTACATGATTTTCTTGCACTCTAAACTGTTTTAAGTTAATTGTAATTTTTTGACGGGCGTATCATGCTGTAAACTGGCACTTTATTTAAAAATTCTATATTTACATTTGCAAATGTTTTATTTAAACATACTGAAAGCAATGTTACCGTAGGTCCCGGTACAAGTTAGAGGTCATATTTTAGGATAAATAGCATTTCATTGAATAAATGTTCAACGTGTCCAGTGGATTACATACATGGTAAAAGTATGAATAAATCACAAATGCCTTTATTTCATTTTAAAAGATGGGCTATAAATATGGGTTGGTGTTAGATCAAATTTATCATAAAGCACTAAGGGCTTTATGGAGTTTATAATCTCGTGACCAACCCATATTTATAGCCCGATAGATGTTTTAAAATGATACCTTACTTCTTAAATACTACATTCATTACATTAAAATGCACCCACTTCATATTCCATAACAGCAATAACAAAATATCTTCACTTCCTAAGTTCTTATTAGGGGATTTAGCTGTTTTAAAATGGCAAAAAAAAAATACTTTATGTGCTCTGCAGGAAATTTGTTTTTTCTGCAATGTTGCAATTAATACATACCTGGGTGTCGCCTGTAATGGAAGCTTGCATACCAACTAAAATGGAAGTGTAATGTGTGCACCCTGATCACATGACCCACTTACCTGTGGGGATTTTAAAATTCTTCCTGGTCTATATAATCATATGTCACTGCAGTCAAGGTCATCTATCTATTTAAATTCCCTAGAGATTTCAATGCTGCCAATGATGCATTTGTTATGCAAATTAATTAAAGTATAATGTATACTTGGAAATATAGCCCTATACTCCCATGGAAATAATATTTCATGTTCATTGTTTGTCCCTTCTATAGTATATTTTAGGTAATAGCATTACATTAAATAAAGTTCAACTCCATATTCCACAGGTAAAAGGTCTCCATGCCTTTATTTCAAAGATCGTGAAAAGGGGGGTTGTCATGGCGTCTAGACGTAATACATTCGAGGTTGTTTTTCCACTAGTTGGAAAGGCCCGAGAAGTTGTGATTGCTCTTAGAAGTTTATGCAAAGTTTCACCAACCCATCTGTATTATGCAGATGTTTCAGTGCTTACAACATATTTATGACCAGGAGTTGGTTTTTATATTACATACATAAAAATTTCTGTCAATAATATACAATGAAGGATATATTATGCATTGACATTATCAATTGCATAACATTTTTGAAATTTATCTGTATCTGTTTTATTACAACTGTTTCTGCACCTCTGGAAATAGGCTTGCTGCTGGGGAACTGCAATCTTGTCAACTCTTTCAATAATATACTTAAACTGTACAAATGTATAATGATGAATTAAGAACAACACAACATTAATTGCTAGTGTGCACTGGAAAAAAAAAAGCGGGGTTACAAATTCATCCTCTACGCAAATACAAATTTGAGGTTTATATTTTTCAGACCCACTTGAAGAAATGGTTAGAGGTAGCAGCCATCAGTCAGAAGAGTGGGCAGAACAAATCCAATGGGCAGGTCATAGGTCAGGTAAGTACAGAAAGGTCAAATATGTTATTATGCATTTTGTAATATGATGTGACATCCAGAAAATTTAAAAAGTGTGTTATTATCGAAGCCTGAAAAAAGTGTGAAGAACAGAATTTTATTTTGGCATACATATTGGTGAGAGCTATTAAATGGTGTTGAGCTTCCCTGTTATCTTGACTTTGCTATTTTTCCTCAAGGTATTTTTATCAGAAGTCAATCATTCACTGATACATATTGATGGGAACTATTCAATTGTGTCAAACATTTTTCTTTTACTTTCCCTATGACCTTGACCTCCATCCTTACTCATTTTGAACATTTAACTTAGTTTTGAAGAAGCTGTTTAAGATATTTTATCAAACTTAAACTTTTAACATCTAAGAAATTTTGTTGTATTTTTTTTTTCAGGAACTCAAGACCTGTGCAGCCATCATTAATATTTTCCACATGATACCAGCAGCCAGCAGTAAGCTGATAGAACCACTCATTGTTGTGGCCCTCGGTGGAGAAAAGTCACTCTTCTTAGAGGTCAGAATATAATGAAGTCATTTATTGAGTCATTCAATGTACAGGGATTCTGCATCATCATTCACAGTCTTTGAGTTGGGGAGGGGGGGGGATAATTTTATGATATTCATTGTACATGTTCACGGGTAAATTCAAAAATATACACTAGCTGTACGTATCTAGACAGTGGAAACAATTCCAAGAAATATACCTGTAATTATCACTTTAAAAAATATTTTATTGGGAATTTCTCTCTTGACATGAATTCAATGCGTGATAAATTATAAAACTATTTGATACATTTTATATTTATGTTTCACTAAATCAACAAATTATTCCTATATAAAATTATGTGTGCTTTGGCAGTCATTAATTTCATTGAGACCCTTTGTATTATTGTTATCAAGTTGACAAGTTGTTTACAAACAGTTGTGTAGTTCATCAAACTGACTAAAAAGTAAAAAACACAGTTGACCTGTTTCTTGAAAGTGAAGCTAGAGTTACAAAAAAGCACGAAAGGACTAACATCAAAGTGGAACAGACTCTGTATAGCAGGTAAGTGATGCGTAACTGATGATGGCTGGGTTCCATCCTTGCCATTTTGTTCAGACCATCAATACCAGAAGCTTTTACAGGTTCAAATGTCATGTTATTTCACTCCTCGACTAACTAGAAAAAGAATTAATCAGTGGGTTTTTTATCCTGGCCAATTTGTTCAAACCATCAATACCAGAAAGTTTTAGAATAAATGTTCAATTTTATGTGTACACATGTTATATTATTTTTTTCCCCCAATTTGCTAGTCTTAGAAAAGAGTTAACTTGCTCAATGCTCAACAGATGGATTTTCTAACATAACACAATGAAATAGAAATATCATTTAAATTGATATTTTGTGTTGTAACAAAGAAGAAATTCATCAATATTCTTTCAATTTCTCTTCAGTTTATCTTGACACACAGTGATGGCAAAAAGTTCAGAGAAGTTCTGGAGGCCAACCCAACCAAACTGTTAAATATTGGACAACAGCAGGTGTGAATGTCAATAAATAATTTTCCACAAATGTTTATCATACATTGTATCATAAGCGCATGCATGCATGCATGATTTAATAGTTGCAATATCAAAATATTATGCTTCACCAGGGTCAATATATTATAGCAATAATATTTTGAACAAACCAGGATAAATATATTATAAATGGATTGATTATATTGCAGCGAAAAAGTGAACTTGGGTTCAAAATATTATCTTAACTGGCTTTAGTAGACATACCTGTTTAGTCAGTGTAATACACATACACAAATCTGAAAGATCTTACACATACACAAATGTAATAGTGTAATGTCACAGTTCTGTGTGACCATGTGTCACATGTATCAGATCAAGCTGATCAGCCTACTGACACAGTTTGAGGAGGCCTGGCTGTCTCAGCACACACAGATAGTGAGTACAATAAAATAACCTCCAGTTCCAGATGATTAAGCTGATCAGTCTACTGACAAAGTTTGAGGAAGCCTGGCTGTCTCAAACATACACAAATAGTGAGTGTTATTGTCGGTGTGAACATGTGATGTGAACATTTGTCACATGTATGTAGTCAAAACTTGAGTCTCTAATAGGAAGAAAAGTGAACATGCATGTACATGTTTTTTAACATTGTAGATCACTATGTTTTTGCGACACCTTATTTTTTAAAAATAGTTATTGACTCTTGATAAGTGAGACAAAATTTTCATGAATTGTGGTTATTGCTCTATATAATCTTAAAGAATACTATTTTACACAAGAATTAAATTTTTGCAAGCCACTGTCTAATTACGCTAAAATAAAGATCTCATAAATAAAAATTGATTTACTGTAGGTAGAGATTGACATAAGTATAAGAAAAAGCTGTTTTTTCATAATGTACAGGTTATTTCAGAAAAATTACTATTTGCAGTTTCGTTCATTTTCTTTGGAGAGGTTGCACATATTGAAATGGAAAGTATACAGATTAGTCAGAACATTTTTACAAGTTTTGGAAAAGTACAGAGTTATGCCATATATATATTACAAACATTCTTGTTTTCAGATCACCCATTTGTTAAGCATTTGGAAAAGTGAGAGTTTTCTGGAGAGGCACAAAAAAGTGGTATGTGTTTCGATGTTGTGTATCTTTCTTATAATTATAATGGTTTATTTTTATTGTTATACATATACTGTACATATCTTACAATTGCTTTGATCATAATTGATTTCCTCTTGTTGTAGAACTCAGTAGATTTTGTGATCTGGAAGGAACCAGCACTGCTTGTGAAGTGTCTGCTGAACTATTTCAAGTGAGATTTGTTTTTTTCTTGAATGAATATAAAGTACATTTAACCTTGTGTTTTAAAGTGAACTCTATATAGAAGGGGATTTCTAACCCCCTCCCTTTTATTTTTACCTCTTTGCCCTCATTTTGAATGGGTGAATTTAAAACTAGGTGAATTCAAATCAAGCAGCATTTTCTCTTTATATAACCATGTTCGGGTTAATTTAAAGTGGAGCAAAATTGAAAATGTGAGCTGATAAAAATAATCCTGAATACAGTGTATACTTAACATGCTTTAGTAGGGCAAAGAGTTATAGCTGCATATTCTTGCATGTATTATATGTCTCTGAAATTGCCTTGAAGTTGGTAGCATATTGTTTTCTGACCTTCATCAGGTACCACACCAATGAGATAGAGCTTCTGTTCCACATCCTGCGGTGCTTCACCACGCGCTTCATCATACAGTTCCAGTTTGTCAAGGACTTCCTAGACAATGTGGTGGCGGCAGTAAGTGGCAGATTAACTGGACAGAATTTTTAACTCACGATCGATCTGATTATTTCTTCTTGTATTATATGGCTGTATTGTACAATTTAAAAATAATAAAATAATACCAAGTTTCCCCCCAAAAAAATCCAGAGGTTGTGGAAAACTGCTTTATCAGTTTTGTTGTTGAAATGTTTAAAAATTCCTTAATAATTAAAATATTAATATTTTTTCAGACGTACACAATTGAATGGAAGAGAAGTGCCTTCTTCAAATTTGTGGAGATCTTTCATGATCAGACATGGACACAGGATTTGAAAGCCAAAGTGAGTACTGTGTGAAGCAGAAAAAGCAGACCTGCCTACCCTTCCGCTTTTGGCGTAATTCTTCCTCTTTTTACCACATTACGCTATTACGCCACTTATATTAATTTTACGCTTTTGACGAGAAGACACTACTTACGTTAACTATTAAACGACATTACAAAACGTACAGCCATTTCTATGCTCAATTAAGTTTACTTCAACATTGCTTAGAATAAGATAGAAAAATGTGAGTGTTAAAAAGATAAAAAAAAAAAACAAACAATGTTATAATGTACAATTTGTTTTAACATTCAAACGCAAGCCTTCAATTATGTGATTTGATACAAATTGATCAAATGCTTCATTAAGGGTGTACGGTTGAATTGAGTTTGATATAGGATGCTGGAATTTTACAACACTTTTTTGCCAACAGATGATTCGAAAAATTAAGGAAAGTTTATACCAGCTTTGTTTAGTAATGTACAATTTCAGTTGTTTCGAGAGAGAAAAAAAGGATTAAAGTATAAAAAAAAAATAGGAAAAACATGCTTGATTATGCTTTTACCTCTGAAATTCCACCAAAAATGTACTCAAATTACACCCTTACAATGAAAAGGGTAGGCAGGTCTGAAAAAGTATGAAAAATCAAATGTAGTAAACATTACCTAAACAAAATGTACATGATTGTCATTGTAATGGAAAGAAAGATACTTTAAACTTGACTTTTCCATCTGTTGGAAATGTTGTACCTGTGAGATAAGCTAGTGAGTTTCATTTGCATATACTGAACATATACATGTACTGTATTTGACAGGTATTTATCTGTGATATAATAACAACAATTTTCCCCATTTCCAGATTCTGCAGCACATCTTGATCCCGTGTTTCCAGCATGCCTTTGAGCAGAACGATGGGGAGAAGTTGATCGGGGGGCCCCCCACCCCAGATCAGGACAACCCCGAGAACGTCATCAGTGCATTCATCACAAAAATCATCGACCCCGAGAACCCTTTTGGGACGTCGGACTCGGTCCGGATTCTGTTGTTACAGCTGTCCTCTCTACTGGTGGAGCAGGCCTCCTCTCACATCCACGACGCAAACAACAAGTAGGTTATCTGAAGTGTTTGTCTCCTAAACTTTGATTTGGTCTTTTGTTGTCCCCTAAAACAAGGAGTTGACATCTCACTTTTGCCATCTAATTTTATGTCACACTACAGGGGAATATTTAGAAGTGTATAAAGTTAAAGATTGTCTGACTTAGACAGTTAGAGAAAAGTAAATCACTTAATTTACTGGACACCCTGTTTTGTGAGAAATTCATTTATTTTACTCTTCATTAGCGAGACAAAATTTTCACAAATTGTGGTTCTGCTCTATGTATTCTTAAAGAATACTAATAAAAGGGAAAGTTACACTGTATATTTTCGTGAGCACTCTGTCTCAATTACATGAAAATAATGTACTTGGGAATAAAAAGTGATTTACAGTATGTCCTAGATAAGGACTGAAATGTCATATAAATGAACAAGTTTTACCATTAGTAAAAAAAGACTAAAAAAGATAAGAAGGGTGCCTGTTTTGATAATTTAAAAGTTTAGGAATTTCAATATTTTTCCTGACACTTTTGTTGCTCTCTTCATTTAATTTCTTTTTGTTTTTAACAGGAAGCAGGGTAACAAGCTGCGGCGCCTGATGACGTTTGCCTGGCCATGCCTGCTGAGTAAGAACTGTGTGGACCCTGCCACGAAGTACCACGGACACCTCCTACTGTCCCACATCATCGCTAAGTTTGCCATCCATAAACGCATTGTACTGCAGGTCTGACATTTTACATTCCTCACATTTTAATCTTTCTTTCATGGTCCAGAATGAATTAGTATGTTTAAATTTTTGTGCTTTGTTTTCCAGGTGTTCCATAGCCTGCTGAAGGCCCATGCAGTAGAAGCCCGGGCTGTGGTCAGACAGGCACTAGAGATCCTCACCCCTGCCATGCCAGGACGAATGGAAGACGGAAATGTATGTATTATACTGTGTTTTAAATCTTAAATTTTTGTACAAGGTTTCAAGAGACATAAAACAAAAAGAGAGATGTCACATTTCAAAAAAGAAAATCAGATGTCAACATTCTTGCATACATGTATATAATCATCTTCACTCTATGTTTGTATTAGGGCATGTTGACTCACTGGACCAAGAAGATAATTGTAGAGGAGGGACACACTGTAGCTCAGCTTGTTCACATTCTGTAAGTACTTGAAACAAGGGAACTTTCAAAGGATCATACCCAATTTAGGGGGGGGGGGCAAAAAAAAAAGAAAGGATTGTTTCAACTATATATTTTTATGTGATCGTGTTTCAGAAAAATATCTGGTGCTCCTTGGTATGTTTTATGCATAGAGGTCAATTTACAAAGAAGAAATTGTACTTGAATGTTTGCCTCCATGTTTCAGACAACTGGTGGTTCGTCACTACAAGGTGTATTACCCAGTCAGACATCACCTGATCCCTCACATGGTCAACTCCCTACAGAGGCTGGGATTCACCTCCAGTGTATGTACATGTATAAACAATATCACTTCAGAATCATTCTGTATCTAAAGTTGTAAAACAGTTGGCAGAGTAAAAGTTTTTTATAAAGTAAAATCAAGCTTATATAAACAGCTGATGCTTAATACAGAAGTCTTTTTTTTACCTGTAGGCCACCATAGAACACAGGAAGCTGGCTGTTGACCTGGCAGAAGTGGTCATTAAATGGGAAGTTCAAAGGGTCAAGGACGACCAAGAGGTCAGTGAGGTCAGTGCAAGGGTGGATCTAAGATTTTTTTTTCCTTTACTCATACAGTATTATAATGCTATCATTATAAATTAGAGTGTTAATTTAATAAGTTTGAAAATTGAAATAATTTTATACAAAAATGTTTTCATTAATTGCCTGCAAAGCAATGTGCAAAATGTAGAATAGAGTACACCTAGTCATGATATCACCATTTCCATTTTCAGTTGCATATGGAAAAATATTTTATTTTATAATTATTTTTCAGCCTGCCCCTGATTTGACCCAGGCCCCACAGCAGAATGTGGGAACTAAGCGTCCCGCCCCTGGTACCCCTCTATCTGTGGATTCACCTCAGGAGGCCAAACGGTCCCGACACTCCTCTGGAGCACCCAGTGAGGTGTATACAAACTTAATGTTTTATCCGTTTAAAAAGACACAATATTTTGATAAGCAAGATTAATTTATTTTATAAGGTTTTTGATCAGAAAGTTGATAAAAATATATATAGCCAGAGTTCAGTATTTGTGGTTTGATTTACAGAGTAACAAGAGTGTGACTGAGAGTAGTAAACCAATAGAGAAGAATTACTGTGATGCTGTGGTCAACTTCTTACTGAGAATTGCTTGTCAGGTAAATGTAAAATTAGATATATATCTAAATAAATGTAAGATGTCAGGTAGAGTTTTATCAAAACTGGTTGTGTCATTTAATGCTGTACTTGTAAGAATAAGAACCGAAATACTGTTCTGTTTTTTTAAAGAAAGGAAAATTTAGTAAATACTCAAGTGTAATGATGTTTCTGAACATGATAAACTTTTTATTGCCCAGGTAAACGAAAGCCCTGGGTCCCCAGGTGAGCTGTTGTCAAGGCGATGTGTAGTTCTCCTGAAGATGGCGCTGCGTCCTGACTTCTGGCAGAATACGGAGCTGAAGCTGGCCTGGTTTGACAAACTCCTGACAACGGTGGAGAATCATCAGCCAAACTTTAACAACATCTGTACAGCCCTGGAACTCCTCAGCTTTCTGTTAACTATACTGGTCAGGGGGATTTTTGTTTATGGTCTATTTCTTATCTGATTGCAATATTGCAAGATTTTTGCATAATTATAGAAAAAAAAATGAAAGACTTAATCTAATGTTATTAAAAATGTACAAATTAAACTTAATTTTTCAATCCTGTAATTTTTACAGTAAAAAAAGGGTTGAGATTTACTTGACTGGTATACCCTTTATTTGTGCATGTCTGATATTTACAAGAAAACTTTATAAATGGCATGTCATTACGTGTATGTGTAAAAAATTTAATGCAATTTATGTCATAGTTTTGCATGCCGCGAAAAATATGTACACAACGTGTGTAGTACAAAGTTGTAATTCCTCAAATCGGAATAAATATTTTTCAGGCGGTATTTGGTATGAAGTTGAAAATTTATTACGAACATCCAACATATCTTTTTTATTTCAAGTCATAGATTTATTTGATATGAGTGATTTGTAAAGTGCCTTGCTGAAATGACGTTTCACACGTACCCTACAATTTGTTGCATGTTTTGTAAAATCATAGGTTTATACAGTGTAAAATGCTTAACCTCTCTATTTACTGATCGAATTATATAACCTTATTTTACAGAAAAAGGACACAATCCTGTCCAGTTTTAAGCCCCTCCAGCGAGGGATTGCGGCGTGCATGACCTGCCCCAATACCAAGGTCATTCGCGGTGTCCACGGTCTGTTGTCACGCCTGATGAGTTTCTTCCCCACGGAGCCGGTCACTTCTAACGTGGCGTCTAAATACGAGGAACTGGAATGTCTGTACGCCTGTGTCAGCAAAGTGGTGTACGAAGGACTCACCAACTATGAAAAGTACGTCAAGTCATATATTAGAAGTCAGTGAATTTGACTGTAATAAGCATTTGATTAATATTTATATTAGGTTTGAATTTAATTCACTTTTTTTTTAATAAGGTTATGAAGTCATTTTCATTACTATATTTTTGTGACAACTTATTTTTGCAAGATAATTATTTGTTAATAATAAGCAAGACAAAGTATATGTAAAAAAATTGTTGAATATTTCAAAAGAAGCTATGCAAATATATGTACCAAGAGTTGTTGCAAATTTTGTCTCACTTATAGTCAGAGAGTAAACAAGCAGTTGCAAATATTTTGTTATCCAAATTTTTTTCACTTTTGAGCACACACTGTATATTTCAGGTCGACCAATGGCTCCCCTACACAGCTGTTCAGTACCCTGATGATTCTGAAGGCAGCCTGTATGCACAACCAGTGTTACATAGACCGACTCATCACCACATTCATGAAGGTCCTACACAAGATGGCGAGGGAGCATCTACAACCCACCTCCACTGAGACTAGTCCTAGTAAGATAATATATAAAGTTCAGAGTGAAATCTCATTTGGGGGGGGGGATCCTCCCACACATGCAATATGAAATCTTGTTGTGGGGAAAGATGCAATCCTGTAACACAAAGAGTTAATATTTTTCATCTTATATTTTTGGTCCACTGATAAAATTTTGTGAATGGGGGTTGTGTAGTTGTCTTAAATTAAATTCTTGTGATCAGACTCAGTCAATTATTGGAGATTCTAGGGAAATGTTATGTACAAGTACATTTTATGCAATGTACAATGTCTATTTTAGATGTTAAAGAACATGTACATACACTGTTGAAAAAAATGACTTTTTTCTGTAACTTAAGGTTGTATTCTGTTTATTTCAGTGGCCAGTGAGTTGTTGATTTTGAGTCTGGATCTGGTCAAGAACAGAGTAGGAGTTATGTCCCTTGAGATGAGGAAGAGTTTCATTGGTCAGATCTTAGTGGGACTGATAGAGAAAACAACTGACCCCAAAGTCATGAAAGCCATCACTAAAATGGTGGAGGACTGGGTCAAAACCAAGGTAATTTAAATGTAGATTTCAGGCTAATAGAAATACATGTACATTGTGTGCATCCCCATTATACAGATATTGAAAACATACAAGAAAGACTTTGAGAAATACAGATGAAAAACTTCATAATTAATACCAACAACTAAATTCTGAAGTTGGTATATGACTAAAGATCACTGAAAATGTATTTTTTTTGGAAGAAAGCTAAAAAATGCATGTATGTTTCAGCAAGTCATCTTATGAAATTTATTATCCATCACACCAATTTTCCATATGTGAATGCTAGTTGTCAGAACTTAACATAATGCTTGTTCCTTTAGTTTATCTCATAAAATACCTGTACCTGTGTTTTTGTTAACTACAGACCCCTATAGCCATCAACCAGTCCCCGGTCATCAGGGAGAAGGCCATCCTTCTGGTCAAGCTGATGCAGCACGTGGAGAAGAGGTTCCCTGAGGAACAGGAACTTAATGCTCAATTCCTGGAACTCGTCAATTACATCTACAGGTAAGATCTAGGAATCTCAGGGGTGGATCATTAGATTTAATAGTTAATATAAATCTATTGGTTAGATCCAGGAATCTCAGAGGTGGATCATAAGCTTTAGTCAATTTACATGTACAATTGATATCCAGATATCTTAGGTATGGATTGTTAAGATTTAGTCAAATTTGTTGGACTTAAGTTTCTCTTTTTGAAACAATTGTTCTCTTTGATGAATTTCTCAGATACATTGTACCTGTAGTCCTCTCTTGTGTTTAAGGAAAATAAACAACAAATGTTTCAATAACGTTATGTTGTGTAGTGTTGCATTGTTTATATACAGTACTGAAAATGCCTTGCAGATCCAGTTTCATTAACTCTTAATTAACCTTTGATTGAATCTCTTTTATTCAGGGATGAAAGTTTGAGTGGTACAGAACTGACATCTAAACTGGAGCCAGCCTTTTTAGCAGGACTGAGATGTAACCAACCTCCCATCAGACAGAAGTTTGTAGAGGTAACTTAGAAAATAGCATACAGTAAAATCCAGTCTGAAGGAAGTCCCTTGATATTAAATTTTGCTTCCTTATAACCAAGATTGTTTAGTCCATACAAAAAGCATAGCTAGTGAAAAGTTATTGAAGGAATTCATAAAAAAGTTCCATATAATCAAGATTTCCATATAAGTGAGCCCTTTTCATATCCTAGATTTACTGTACAAGTGTTTAGTTTTTAATTTACTCATAAAATTGAAGATTTTGTGCATTTGTGAAACACAATTTTTGTTTGTCAGTATTCTGAATCCTTTATAACTTTGTAGGTGTTTGATAACAGTATACCCAAGAGGATTTTTGATCGCTTGCTGTACATCACGTGTTCACAGAACTGGGAGTCCATGGGAGGACATTTTTGGATCAAACAGTGTCTTGAGGTACCGTATATACTCGCCTATAAGTCGGTCCACCTATAAGTCGGTTGTATTTTTTAGGTTGATTTGGAATGATTTGTCATTGACCCGTTTATAAGTCGGTACAACTTTTTGCAGAACCTTTTGTTATTTTAAATCAATGCAATGATTTTACCTGATTTCCATTAATATTTTTTTTAAATAATGCCGATATTAGGCTATATAAATTTAATTCCTTGGTTCTCAGGCCAATTTTCTCCAAAACAGATGCGGGAGGGCGGCATTTTATTTTTCATTTTATTGGCAATAAAGTAGATGAGGGAGGTATTTTTTTAAATTTTAATTTCCGATTTTCTTTAACATAAAGATAATTTTTTAAATCACAGATATACTTTCCATTTCTGGTCAAAATTTCTGCTTTATCCATTGCTTAACAGCGTGTAAACATCGTAGGTAATGTCCTCGAATGTATTTTCAAACGAAGTAGCCAAAATCTTATTGTAAATGGCTACCGGAAGTGATATTTGAATACTAAACTACGAAACAAATGAGGTCGGAATTTTTTTTCCCGGATTGGTCTCCGCAATACCAACTTTTTATTTTATCAAAAATACAATAAAATCGGCAATGCGGCTACCTCAAAACGGATGCGCGCGGGCCTGAGAACCAAGATTTCAATTTTATATGGCCTTAAATTTTTGATCATTAAACAAATAAGTTAGTATTTCAAAATAAAAGTATTAAATTTAAGTAAATACTTATACTTTATGTATACTCTTTGAATGCGTAAATGGTTATACATATATACTTGTTCTTCAAAAATCGTCGGAAATATATATCAGATGCTACATTTCAGTCCAGAAAAATACTGATCTTTTAATGACTCGGCTATAAGTCGGACGTGGAGTTTGTGATCAAAGTTTAACTCCCAAAATACCGACTTATAGGCGAGTATATACGGTATTTAAGCATGTATTGTTAACTATGCATCACCAAGTTTTAAGGTTAAGTATAAAATGTAAGGATTGTGTACAGTAGAATGTCTAACTTAACTTATTGTTATGTTGTGATTATATCTGAAACTTTCTTTTATGGATCTAACCTAGGTTTATGGGTTTGACCTACCTTATATTGACCTATTTTACTGTTGATCCTGTCTGTGGCTATGACACATTATTCACCTGTGACCTATATTTTATTGACCTAACCTACTTTCTGTGTTACAGTTGATCCTGTCGGTGGCTATGACTTATTCTTCACCTGTGACCTATATTTTATTGACCTGACCTACATTCTGTGTTCTGTTGATCCTATCGGTGGCTATGACTTATTCTTCACCTGTGACCTATATTTTATTGACCTGACCTACATTCTGTGTTGATCCTATCGGTGGCTATGACTTATTCTTCACCTGTGACCTATATTTTATTGACCTGACCTACATTCTGTGTTACAGTTGATCCTGGCTGTAGCTATGACGGGACACACTATACAGAGTTCCTCCCCTATGAACCTTCTGCCCTCGGCCAGCAGCATTGTTAACCTTGCCGACAGCCAGGAGAGGGCGGCCTTCGCTAGCATCATGAAGATGAAGGAGGAACCCATGGACGTGGAATCTGTAGACTCCAACAAAGAAGAGGTCAGGGAAACATCTATTATTTTCTGTTTTGAATTTTGTTTGAATTGAATTTGGTCAAAGAAATTGTATTTTTGATGAATTTAAGAATCTATGTGTCAAATGCTTATGTACATTGTACATGTAGATTGTTTGAAAGTGGTGACCTGTAGAATTTTTGTAATGTTCGTGCATTTGCATTACAATAATTTTCACTTTGACAACTCCCATTGAATGTTTTATGTAAATAATCATACTCACTACAGGAGGAAATAGACATGGAGTTAGGGGATGTGTCTTCTGTTTGTTTATGTTTGTTATATATTACAGGAGGAGATAGACATGGAGTTAGGGGGCGTGTCTTCTGTTTGTTTACGTTTGTTATATATTACAGGAGGAGACAGACATGGAGTTAGGGGGTGTGTCTTCTGTTTGTTTATGTTTGTTATATATTACAGGAGGAGATAGACATGGAGTTAGGGGGCGTGTCTTCTGTTTGTTTATGTTTGTTATATATTACAGGAGGAGGTAGACATGGAGTTAGGGGGCGTGTCTTCTGTTTGTTTAAGTTTGTTATATATTACAGGAGGAGGTAGACATGGAGTTAGGGGGCGTGTCTTCTGTTTGTTTATGTTTGTTATATATTACAGGAGGAGATAGACATGGAGTTAGGGGGCGTGTCTTCTGTTTGTTTATATATATTACAGGAGGAGATAGACATGGAGTTAGGGGGCAGTCTTCTGTTTGTTATATATTACAGGAGGAGATAGACATGGAGTTAGGGGATGTGTCTTCTGTTTGTTTACGTTTGTTATATATTACAGGAGGAGATAGACATGGAGTTAGGGGGCGTGTCTTCTGTTTGTTTACGTTTGTTATATATTACAGGAGGAGATAGACATGGAGTTAGGGGGCGTGTCTTCTGTTTGTTTACGTTTGTTATATATTACAGGAGGAGATAGACATGGAGTTAGGGGGCGTGTCTTCTGTTTGTTTATGTTTGTTATATATTACAGGAGGAGATAGACATGGAGTTAGGGGGCGTGTCTTCTGTTTGTTTATGTTTGTTATATATTACAGGAGGAGATAGACATGGAGTTAGGGGGCGTGTCTTCTGTTTGTATATGGATGTTATATATTACAGGAGGAGATAGACATGGAGTTAGGGGGCGTGTCTTCTGTTTGTTTATGTCTGTTATATATTACAGGAGGAGATAGACATGGAGTTAGGGGGCGTGTCTTCTGTTTGTTTATGTTTGTTATATATTACAGGAGGAGATAGACATGGAGTTAGGGGGCGTGTCTTCTGTTTGTTTACGTTTGTTATATATTACAGGAGGAGATAGACATGGAGTTAGGGGGCGTGTCTTCTGTTTGTTTACGTTTGTTATATATTACAGGAGGAGATAGACATGGAGTTAGGGGGCGTGTCTTCTGTTTGTTTACGTTTGTTATATATTACAGGAGGAGACAGACATGGAGTTAGGGGGTGTGTCTTCTGTTTGTTTATGTTTGTTATATATTACAGGAGGAGATAGACATGGAGTTAGGGGGCGTGTCTTCTGTTTGTTTATGTTTGTTATATATTACAGGAGGAGGTAGACATGGAGTTAGGGGGCGTGTCTTCTGTTTGTTTAAGTTTGTTATATATTACAGGAGGAGGTAGACATGGAGTTAGGGGGCGTGTCTTCTGTTTGTTTATGTTTGTTATATATTACAGGAGATAGACATGGAGTTAGGGGCGTGTCTTCTGTTTGTTTATGTTTGTTATATATTACAGGAGGAGATAGACATGGAGTTAGGGGGCGTGTCTTCTGTTTGTTATATATTACAGGAGGAGATAGACATGGAGTTAGGGGATGTGTCTTCTGTTTGTTTACGTTTGTTATATATTACAGGAGGAGATAGACATGGAGTTAGGGGGCGTGTCTTCTGTTTGTTTAAGTTTGTTATATATTACAGGAGGAGATAGAACATGGAGTTAGGGGGCGTGTCTTCTGTTTGTTTACGTTTGTTATATATTACAGGAGGAGATAGACATGGAGTTAGGGGGCGTGTCTTCTGTTTGTTTATGTTTGTTATATATTACAGGAGGAGATAGACATGGAGTTAGGGGGCGTGTCTTCTGTTTGTTTATGTTTGTTATATATTACAGGAGGAGATAGACATGGAGTTAGGGGGCGTGTCTTCTGTTTGTTTACGTTTGTTATATATTACAGGAGGAGATAGACATGGAGTTAGGGGGCGTGTCTTCTGTTTGTTTATGTCTGTTATATATTACAGGAGGAGATAGACATGGAGTTAGGGGGCGTGTCTTCTGTTTGTTTATGTTTGTTATATATTACAGGAGGAGATTTAATGGAAGGGGGCGTGTCATTTTTACGTTTGTTATATATTACAGGAGGAGATAGACATGGAGTTCGGGGGCGTGTCTTCTGTTTGTTTACGTTTGTTATATATTACAGGAGGAGATAGACATGGAGTTAGGGGGCATGTCTTCTGTTTGTTTACGTTTGTTATATATTACAGGAGGAGATAGACATGGAGTTAGGGGGCGTGTCTTCTGTTTGTTTATGTTTGTTATATATTACAGGAGGAGATAGACATGGAGTTAGGGGTCGTGTCTTCTGTTTGTTTACGTTTGTTATATATTACAGGAGGAGATAGACATGGAGTTAGGGGGCGTGTCCTCTGTTTGTTTACGTTTGTTATTTATTACAGGAGGAGATAGACATGGAGTTAGGGGGTGTGTCTTCTGTTTGTTTATGTTAGTTATTTATTACAGGAGGAAATAGACATGGAGTTAGGGGGCGTGTCTTCAGATGACAACACCTCCTCTAAGGAACCTCCCAAGAAAGACCTACAGGAACCCAAACAAAGCATCAACACTCTACTGCAGAGACAGGCCAAGTTCTTAGAGGGCTGCCGCGAGGTCAAGGTAGGCTGTAAATGTCAGCAAGTTCTTTATGTATACAACGTAATGCAGTTTATGACAGGAACGTAAAGTTTGAACAAGAACTTGCAGCTTGAAGGTCAAATAAGCAGTATATTATAATTGTTTAAGCAAAGAAATCTTTGATCATTTGGTTGAAAAACTGAATGGAAGTATTGAGCTTTGAAATTTTTGTATTATAAATTACCAGTGTCTTTATTGCCCTGTCTTGTTTTTTTAGACTGTGTCGTACCTGAACTCCCTGTCCCAGCTCTGTCACAGTACAACAGATCTTACACACAGTATCTGGATTGATATCTTCCCCAGGATCTGGAAAATCCTCTCTGAGAAACAACAAGGGGTTGGTGCTTTCTAATGAATTTTCTTGAAATAAATGTCGGAGGAAAAGAGGGAAAATACTCTTTCTATTTCTGTATGGAAAAAAGAGATAAATAATGTAAGTTCTTGGAATACCGTATAATCCCTATTTACCACCCCAGGCGCTTAGAAAATTGCAAAAAGGGGGCGGTTATTTTGGTATTCTCTTTATGATATCTAATGTCATATTTTAACTTTAAAAATTTTTTGAAAATAAAAAAAAATACAAGGAACCACTAAAATAATTTCCAACTTTACTGAAAGTGAAGATAATTCACCCAAATGCTAAATTAATATTCATTTTCCACTGAGAAATCAGCTAATAGACAAGTTTAATTTTCACTTTCATTTTTTTTATACGATTCTAGATGATTTTAATCACTGTACAGGGGGTTTATTTCCTGACAATTGAAAAATAAAGGGGCAATTTGGAATGCAGGGGCGGTTAATAGGGAAATGTGGATTTTTAAAGGGCAAAAGGAGGTTTTTATGAATTTATTTTTAGTCCTCGCATATACTGAGATCCCATTTTCCATGTTATGTTTATATTTATGTACTTGTTCCTCTTACAGATGTTTTCTGGGGAGCTGATCCCCTTTATGTGTTGTGTGTATTGTTTACGTGTGGTTCTATTACAGATGATATCAGGGGAGCTGATCCCCTTTATGTGCAGTGGGAGCCACGTAATACAGAAGGACTGCCACCCCAGCTCTATACACACCTTCCTGGAGGGGCTGTCTCATGTGGTGCCCCCCGTACAGATCAGACCAGCCGTACTCAAGGTGAGTCGTCTCATTTGTCTTACACTCTCACACCTTTGTTTTAATTAGCTTGTGTTTTGTTGAGAATTGAAATTTTATAATGTACTGTTTTAATAAATTGTCATATTTGTTTGGATCCCACTATGTGTGTGCCCTATAGACTCCAGGCTGAAAAATATTTGTGTCCAGCATATTTTTCTTTTCCTTGGCCCAGTAGGGCACAGACTTCACCCATAAATTGCCAATTGTAGAGGGTATGCAGTTATATTAAAAAATCAAGTCCATAGATCAAAAGTCAAGGTTGTTACATGTATTCATCTGTAAGTTTTTTCCTGCAGTATCTGGGTAAGACACACAATCTCTGGCACCGAGCCTGTCTGCTGCTGGAACAACTCGCGTTTGAGAACAACGCTCAGCAGGCCCTGAAGAATCGTCCAGGCAGCGAGTACGAGTTTGAGCCAGTCCAGTCATCTCAACAGGTGAGTGTGTTAATTAAACTTCCTATTTATCACCTATCTTTAGATTTGAAAAAGGAAACCTCATTTTCTTGAGCTCTTGAAATTAATAAAGCAATAATCCATTCTTGTAACAATGTTTAATGCATGCATTGTTCACATCAGATTCATTCTTACTGAAATTATTTTCATTCACTTTGCTTTAACCTCCCCTGATTATCCGTACAACAGGAGACTTTGGACTGCCTGTGTGAGCTGTACTCTCTGCTGAAGGAATCAGACATGTGGACTGGGCTCTGGCAGAAACGAACCAAGTTCCCAGAATCCAACACTGCCATAGCCTACGAACAGCACGGCTTCTTTGAACAGGCACAGAGTGCTTATGAACAGGTAATCTTACAACTCAATGGTCTGTGTTCATAGAAATTTTCTTTACTAAGTAGAGAAGTTTGAACTAAGAAGAATTTGATTGAGTTTTTGTTGCCATGTTATTTCAGTGTATGACGAAGGCCCGACAGGAACACAACACTGCCCCGGTTTTGCCCAGCAGGTAATTAATCATTAACTAGTAATTTAAAAATAAAAATTACATAAAAGGATGTAGCAGCACCGTATATTGTATTTGACAGTAAAAGAGAAGAAAAACTCAGGTAAAGAAAACCTTGTTACTGTGTGTATACTTGTAGGTGCTGTAAGGAGTTGAACCAGTGGGATCAGGTCATTAATAATGATAATCATTTAAAAATGGAAAGCTCAGCTCCATCTATCATGTATTTGACTCCAGCCTGGTTATTTAACTGCTTTTATTTACAAAGTGCAATACATTATTAATATTATTACTAAATTCAAAGAGAAATGTGAGAAATGTTGACCACTTTAAATATAAGATTGTAGGCACAAAAAACTAGACTTATTAAAAATGAGACAAAATTGTTTGCAAATGTGAAAGGGTGAAAATAACCCTGTGTTAAGTACATGTATATGCTTTTAGGAATTTCAGTAATAAAGAAACTTCACAAAAGGTAAACCTTGTTTCTGTATGTACTTGTAGATGCTGTAAGGAGTTGAACCAGTGGGACCTACTGCTGGAGTACGCCACTTCTAAAGGGAACACCAACCCCCACCTGGTCCTAGAGAGTGCCTGGAGGGTCCCTAACTGGTCCGTCATGAAGGATGCCCTTGCACAGGTACTCAATTGCGATGTGTCATAGTGCTCTGTTATTTCAAATTTATATAAAAGTTGCCTCCCTTTATCCAGACTTTGGAAAGAAAACTTTTCCAAAATTGCTATATTGAAGTCTAAAAGAAGCTCAATCTTTTACTGCAATGAAGCAGTATTATTTTTTTATTGGCTAAATTATTTGAATGACTTATTTTGATGTTCCCAGGTGGAGCTAAGCTGTCCTAAAGAAATGGCCTGGAAGGTCAATCTGTACAGAGGTTATATTGCCATCTGTCACCCTGACGACCATCATCTCAACATGGTTACCATGGTAATGTCTCCTTTTGATTCTGAAGAATCTGTCAGTGAGCATTGAAAGATGGTTTTCCTTGCTCATTTCTCATTGACTGTCAGTTACAATAATTATTTCTATGTAGACAATGTCATTGTTATAGTTAGATTACATGATATATGATTGATTTATTTTTTTTTTATCAACTTTGTGTGACAAAAGTTTGAATCTTTTCCAAAAAATTGATGCAGTAATTTAGATTTGCCAGGATTCAATATTAATATTGATTTTTGATTAGGTTTTGATCCTTCTGTATTTTCTAATATAAGATGGTGGTATATTGTAGATTGAGCGTTTGGTGGAGGTGTCCAGTAATTTAGCCATCAAGGAGTGGCGCCGCCTGCCCTCCATCGTGTCCCACATCCATGTCCCCCTCCTACAGGCGGCGCAGCAGATAATGGAGCTACAGGAGGCCGCCCAGATAAACCAGGGTCTCCAGCCTGCCAACATCACCCGCAGCTCTAGTCTACACGACATGAAGGCAATCGTCAAAACTTGGAGGTCAGGGTTTCTTTAATTCTTTACAGAAGAAATACTGCTTTGTTGTGGAAAGATTTATGATTAATTTCTGCATTGTTAGAAAAAGTAATTTATTAATTTTGGTAAATGTGGTATGTGGCAAAGAGAAATTTGTAAACTCAAAAACGGTATCAGAAAAAAATTCTTAAACACTATGAAAAGATTTGCATTAATTTAGGTTCAACTAGATGTTAGAAATTTTGCAATTGGAAAATGGATTTTTTTAAAGCAATTTTTAGTTCTAAATATTAATCACAGAAACCATTTTACCCACAGGAACCGCCTGCCAATGATATCTGATGACCTGTCCCACTGGAGTGACATTTTTACCTGGAGACAGCACCATTATCAGTTCATTGTCAATCACTATGACTCCCACGCTCAGCAAGACCCGGTAAGACCAACTTCTTTGACACATTTTTTCAGTTATTTACTGAAAGCAGATTAGTTCAATGTGTTCACAATCATTCTCCTTTCTCCTACAGCAAAACAGTAACCATTCCATGTTAGGAGTCCATGCTTCAGCTCAGGCTATCATCCACTTTGGTAAAATCGCCAGAAAACATGGACTGACTGGGGTCTGTCTGGACTCTCTCAGCAGGTTAGAATACTTGTAAAGAAAAAAGAATTACGATATTGTATGAAGATAAACTTTTCTTTGTTAAAACTGAGAAAGAACTTTGGAGAATTGAAGATATTTCCTTCCTCAATGCCAGTTCATTTTGATTTTCTGATCAATTTCCTGTAAAATGTAGAACGAATCATACATTTTGTGACATGCTAAGTGAGAAATTGAAATGGAAAATGAATGTAATTTGCAATAGATAAATATATGTGTACCTTTGTTTTGAATCCACTGTAGGATCCACACAATCCCCAGTGTCCCCATCGTGGACTGTTTCCAGAAGATCAGACAGCAGGTCAAGTGTTATCTACAGATGGCTGGCACCATGGGCAAAAACGAACTACAGGAGGTTAGTAGTCAATCTCACAGGACAGTAATGTGTGTACAAGGATAAGAGATTGTTTTATAGAAAAAATATAAATATCCTATATAGCTAAGACCAGATATAATTCTGATGAATAATTTGATGATTTATGTACATGTATTCGGCTGTTTGTAATATCTGACAAATTTGAAATTAGTATAATAATTTAATTTAAAAAAAGGTGTGTTAAATTTATTTTTAATCTTGAAAAAAAAATATATATGGAATTTCAAAGAAAATATCTTGAGAGCAAAATGTTTGGTTAACATTTATTGATATCAACAAGTACCAGTAATCAAATTAAACTCTGTCCAAACTGAAAACTCTCATTTTTCTACACAGAAACACAAAATATTGCAGATATAATACTTTATTCCAGGGCCTGGAAGTAATCGAGTCCACCAATCTGAAGTACTTCACCAAGGAGTTCACAGCGGAGTTCTACGCATTAAAGGGGATGTTCCTGGCTCAAATCGGGCGCTCTGACGATGCTAACAAGGCGTTCAGTGCCGCGGTACAGATGCATGACACCCTGGTGAAGGCCTGGGCTCTCTGGGGGGACTACCTAGAGAATGTCTTCACTAAAGAAAAGTTTGTATATATTGTAGATTTGTTCATATATTGTGTCAGTTGTGGTACTGTGCTTTTCCAATGATCTTGGATTGAGTTGATGTTAGAAGTCTGAAAATAGGATTTTTTCTGCTTTGTGATTTAGAAGTCAGGGAATTTTAGAAATTTAGGATAATATGGTTGTTTTGTATGAAAATCTTTGTCAAAAGAATGAAATGCGCTCTACAAATTTTAAAATATAAAGTCTTAGAAAGAAGAGAGCAGTTGTTGACTTCAAATTTTCAAATATGTGCAGTTCAGATACTATTATAATTGTTTTTCGTAAAGGAAGAAAAAGCTACATGTATGTTTCCTATGTAGCATTGTGCAGTTCACATACTGTAATTGTTTTGTGGGAAGATTTAGCAAAGTTTATCACATATAGTAATTGTTTCTAATATAGGAAGACAGAACTAGGAGTGTCAGCCATCACCTGTTTCCTGCATGCCTGTCGCCATCAGAATGAGAGTAAATCTAGGAAGTACCTGGCCAAGGTTCTCTGGCTCCTGACGTACGACGACGAGAAGTCAGCCCTGGCCGAGGCAGTGGACAAGTATTGTGTGGGGGTACCACCCATACAGTGGCTACCTTGGTGAGTATTGTGAGGGTACCACCTGTTCAGTGGCTACCTTGGTAAGATACAGCATTCACAAGACATCATAAATTATTGCATATTCAAAGAGTGAGGGGGGTATGAATTGTGTGTCAGCTAGAATAAGGACTATTACTTGGTTGATACTTCTTATGAATTAAAATTTGGTGCTTAGATTCTCGATTCTGTTGTAAACAAATATTATGCCTTCTAGATCTAACTGATTTGATGTGTGTCTGTTACGTGTTATGTTTTCTGTACAGAAAAATAATTTTCTTGATCATCTTTGTGATTCACTCCACCATTTTGTGTTTGTACTGTACTGTTTTGCTTAAATTCTTTTGATAGAATTTCACAACCTTAGTTAAAGATTACATCTGTTGATACATATTCCTCATGCTCTGTCTCTGTTCCAGGATTCCTCAGCTGTTGACGTGCCTGGTCAGGAGTGAGGGGCGCCTCATCATGAACCTGCTCAGTCAGGTGGGCAGGATGTACCCCCAGGCTGTGTACTTCCCCATCAGGACCCTGTATCTCACTCTCAAGATCGAGCAGAGGGAGAGATGTAAGTACATGTATCTCACACTCAGTATCGCACCCTTAAGATCGAGCAGTGGGAGAGATGTAAGTATCTCAAGATTGAGCAAAGGGAGAAATATAAGTATCTCACACTCAAGATAGAGCAGAGAGAGAGATGTACATGTAAGTATTTCACACTCAAGATGAAGCAGTGGGAGAAATGTATCAGACACTCAAAATTGAGAAAGACAGAGGGAGAGATGTAAGTATCTCACACACAAAATTGAGCCTTGGGAGAGATCTACAATGAATGTAAGTGGTCAGAGTAAAAAAACACTTCATTTGATGCTTTGGTTAAATCTACGTATATATCATTTTTCCATGGTACATATAAAGGAAATAAAAGCTGCAATATTCCTTCTTTGAATATCTCATTGGCAAATATATTCATCTTAAACATTTATTAAAAAGCTACATTTTTATATGTTAAGTTTACTGACTAATTATTGGTTGTAACAAATACCATATGTGAAGAGCTTTCTGATGAAATTTTTTATCAGATTGTAAATGCAAGCACTAACTTTCAGATAAGAGTGGTGATCCTAGTGCTGCCCCAGTCAGCAGGACCCCCTCCACTACCCAGCAGTCGTCAGTCATCACCACAACAACAGGGACAACGACCGTGACCTCCAGTTCATCAGGTCCCCCAGGGTCATCTGTACCCTCCACCCCCACCACCCCCGGGATCTCTCTGTCTGGTCAGTAGGTTCAGTTTAGAAAGCCACAAAAGTTACTTAAGGGTCTACCGAAAAACTATTTTTGTACTTTCATAGTCACTGATATTCGAAAAATTTGCGGTTGGCTATCAAAAGAAAATGTTCAGTTAAGCTGTGCTATTTTCTGATGGAGAGTTTATAAATAAAATAAACATGTATGTGGAAACCAGTTTTACAATTTGAGAAAAGAAATGCTGTATTTTTCTATTCAAAATTATCTTACCAAAAAAAAAATTTTAATTTAAAAAAGTTAATGTTATAGAGAATAGGGAAACTTGAGTGTTTATTTAAATATCATTAAGTGTATGTTTTAATTCTCTCTTTAAGTTGATGAGGCTCTTCAGACCCCAGCCCCAGCTTCTGGCACCACCTCTCAGGGGGCGGCCAGTCAGGGGGGTCAGAAGGGGGGGTCTGCAGGGGGAACAGATGCGGGCCCCATCAGAGCCCCCGCCCCTATGTGGAGGTGTAGCAAGATCATGCACCTACAGCGAGAGCTCCACCCCACCATCCTCAACTCACTGGAGGGAATAGTAGATCAGGTGAGGGAGAAATGTCTTCAATATTTAAGTTGACAGTAAAAGTAAAGTGATGAAATAAAGAGTGAAAGGAAAAAAAATCAAATGTCAATTTAGAATAGAGTATTGGTGTTTTTGCTGAAAAAATTTCTGGAAGATAAAGTATTTTTTGTAGATAAGTAAAACAATGGTAATGCAACCAATCTTGAGTTGAAACTTTGTTAAACAAAGTCATTTAGGTCTTATTTTTAGACAAGAAATTTAATAATTATGCACATTATTTATTCAACACAATGTAAGAAGAGTACTTTATCATGTATATAACTTGAAGATGAATGTTTTAACTTTAATTTCTACAAAATAAAAAATGTACAGGCCACATTCTGATTATAATGCTAGGATAAATTATTTTTCCACAGATGGTGTGGTTCAGAGAGAACTGGTATGAGGAAGTTCTGAGACAACTCAAACAGGGCCTGGCCAAGTGTCATGCTGTGGCTTTTGAGAACAGAGGGGCTGGTATGTCTGTCTGTGATAATTGTCTTCAGTTTGTCCATAATGTTATGACTTATAGATTTGTGAAGATAAGTTGTCTGTATTATAAATTTTTGAAGCATGGTTTGGGCTTTCATATAATAGATAAAGTCTTTCTGAAGAATTAATCTTGTTTTTTTATTTTCAAAATAGTTTGATTTAATGAATAAGGCTTCAATTGGTTTATTTAACTTTTATTAAAAAAAACATGCTAATGGATGTAAACTGCTACACTAAATACATTTTCTGCATTTATCTGTTTAACATTTAGATTTTGATATTAAATCATAATCATAACACTACCATAATCATGCATTGCTACTCTGTGTTTATCATGTGTCTGATCATGTGTCTGATCATGTGACTAATCATGTGACTATCTTGTAGTTGCTGATGCCACCATTACTCCACACACGCTGAACTTTGTGAAGAAGCTAGTGAGTACGTTTGGGGTGGGGATAGAGAACGTCTCCAGCGTTAGCACCACCTTCTCCAGCGCCGCCTCCGAGTCCCTGGCCCGCCGCGCTCAGGCCACCGCCCAGGACCCCGTGTTCCAGAAAATGAAGAGCCAGTTCACCACTGACTTTGACTTCAAGTAAGATTTAGAGATTTTATTTTTATGATTCAATTTTTGTGATGAAATTTCAAATGTGATATAAAAATTATTAGGTTTAAAAAAAAATTATAGAAATCATTATTTAAAAGCCAATTTTGAGTTAAATTTTCTATTTTGTGTTTTCTTTTGTTAAATTGTTTATATTGTTGTTACCATTTCAGTGTTCCTGGTTCTACCAAGCTTCACAATCTGATTAACAAACTGAAGAAATGGATCAAAATCCTGGAGGCTAAAACTAAGTTACTGCCAAAGTAAGTTTTATACTGATGATTATCTTTTTTGTGTATGAAAACAATGTTAATGAAAATACAATATTAAGAGTGAATATGATATGTTTTCTTTACTTTTCATTAAAATGTTAATATACTAATTGATCTTATATGTAAAATTCCCCTTATTGCATTTAAAGGATTTAATTTAACTGTGATTTTCTTTAAACAGATCTTTCCTGATTGAGGAGAAATGTCGATTCCTGAGTAACTTTTCTCAGCACACAGCAGAAGTAGAACTGCCAGGAGAGTTCCTGTTACCAAAGGTAAAAATTGGATAGGAATCCAATTTCCTTCTCTTTTAAACAACATCTGGTCATTAACTAGAAGACAAAGATATTGATGTCTTTACTATATAATATAAATAACAGATGGAGATATCATTTGCAAGGACATCAATACTCTACTTTGCATATTTGACAGTAGTATATGTTTACATTTCTTTGTATATTTTGGTATATTAAGTTTTCTGCAGTGTAATGTTTTTCTAATAACAGCACAGCCATTACTATGTGAGGATTGCCCGCTTCATGCCTCGAGTGGAGATTGTACAGAAACACAATACAGCAGCTAGACGTCTGTACATCAGAGGCCACAACGGCAAGGTAGGAGAAATTATAGAAGTCACAGAAAATGTTGAAATGTGTTACATTTAAACTTTTAAGGACATAAAGTTATGTTTAAAATATTTTAATTTGTCAAATTCTACACTTTGAATATATTTTTATTCATGCATTTGGTTTTGCATTTGAGTTTTACTATCTTAATAATTTTTATCCATTGGAATGTATAAATTCCTTGATATTTCCACCTGTGAATCGTTGACCTTTGACTTTTTAGGTGTACCCTTACCTGGTGGTCAATGATGCATGTCTGACCGAGTCCCGTCGCGAGGAGCGTGTACTCCAGCTGTTACGCATGATGAATCACTTCCTGACAAAACAGAAGGAGACGTTACGTCGTCTGCTGTACTTCACGGTCCCCCGCGTGGTGGCCATCTCTCCTCAGATGAGACTGGTGGAGGATAACCCAGCCTCCATCTCACTGCTGGATGTCTACAAACAGGTCTGTTATTGAAGTATACTCAACTGTGAAAATTCTGTCTTTCTTTCTCAAAAAGAATGTATCAAGAAAAAAAAAATTCTACAAGATACATCTATTTTTAGCTCAGAAATATTGAAGTTGAGGCTGAAATTGTGAAAATGGTTAAGACCAAAGCCTTGTCTTATCATATCCCTAGTTTAAAACATATGCATGTAGATTTTTGAGATGTCTCACATTAATATTAAATTAGGTACATGTATGTTATGGAAATTCTATGTGCCTTGGACATTATTATTCCCTGTTATGATTTGTACAGTATTTGGGAATTCAGTTGAAGAGGTTAAATGAAAGAATATGGTTCCCAATTTCAATTTTCACTTGAAATATTTTGAGATGAGAATGATACCCAGTGTCAGAACTTGGTTTAACTAAATGCAATCTGTTTATTACCTGTTTTCAGAGATGTACTAAGCGAGGTATAGAGCATGACGCCCCTGTTGCTAGGTACTACGAGCGCCTGGCGACGGTCCAGGCTCGGGGGGCCCAGGCCAGTCACCAGGTGCTGAGGGACATTCTGAAGGACGTCCAGAGTAACATGGTCCCCCGGGGGCTGCTGAAGGAGTGGGCGGTTCACACGTTCCACACCGCCACAGACTACTGGACATTCAGGAAAACGGTCAGTCTACAACCAGTGAATAATAGTTATAAATATTATAAAGAATTTAAAAGTTTTCGATTTTTTATCTAACAGTTAAAAACTATAAATAGGGAATTTACTGAAATTTTTTATTTTAAATGCTTATAGAAAATAAATGATGCTTATAGCAAATTGTTTATTGAACATAAAAGATGTTAATGGTTAGAAGGATATTAAAGCAAACCTGTGGCTGGTTTTGAGAAATTAATTATAGTAAATATCTCACTCACAGTATAGCTGTTAGAGACTTTATGGATGGAAAATATTTTTAGCACAATAAAGTGTGAATTAGCTGCCTTTAGCTATCTGAATAGGTAACTATGTAAGATGTTGACAGCTGACAATCCAGTTGTTAAGTTTTCTATATTTTGTTGACAGCTGACGATCCAGTTGTTAGTTTCTCTATATTTTGTTGACAGCTGACAATCCAGTTGTTAGTTTCTCTATATTTTGTTGACAGCTGACGATCCAGTTGTTAGTTTCTCTATATTTTGTTGACAGCTGACAATCCAGTTGTTAGTTTCTCTATATTTTGTTGACAGCTGACAATCCAGTTGTTAGTTTCTATATAATTTGTTGACCTCCATCAGGACATATTTTGTGGCTACATCAACATCATGTATTTTTTTGACAGCTAATACTACTATATTTTGTTGACATCGACGACCAGTCAGGTAACATGTAGCTTTGGTGTATTGCTTATACTGTAGATGATCTAAGCTAGGTTAAAGTATTGTAGATTTGTTTGTGACCCATCATTTTATCTACATGTAAAGATTTGGTGGTCAAAAAGTTATTTCATTCGGATGTAGATCAAATTATACAGGTTGTTTTCTGTTTCTCAAAATAAATCAAATATCTAAATAGGTTTTATCAGAAGAACTAGTCTTTTAAAAAATTATCACATCTCAAATACAAATGTAGGTTTCAGTTCTTTCTTGGATCCATGTATCTTAATGTTTTACATAGGAAATATATATCTAACAGGATAAACATTTCTTAACACTTAGTCAACACATTGTAAGTCTTCTATTTGACACTGTTGTTGACAGGTGAGCTGGACGCTAACCGCCCAGTACCATTCCGACTGACCCCTAACATTGCCGAGTTCCTGACGATGACCGGAGTTAACGGTCCACTGACCGCCTCTATGGTCGCCTCCGCCCGGTGTCTGGTCCAGCCTCAGTACAAACTGCCCAGCTTCCTTAGGGCCGTACTGAGGGACGAATACATTACATGGCATAAAAAAGTAAGCATGGCTGAGCATCATAATGGATGTGCTAATTTGAATCTTTTCTTTATGTGATCAAATCACAGTTGGTTTAGAAGGTACCCTGGATGCAAGTAAAATGTGGCACACTTTTAGGAAAAAGAAAATCTTCTTCTCAAGAACCACTGACAGAAAAGCTGAAACTGAGGAAGTGAATTTATTTTCATGGGCAAAGTTGATAACAAAACTGCTGCTATTAAATAATGACAACTTAATTGTATGTTGATTATTGAAAAAAAAAAATTAGTTTTTCCTTATGAGCTAAATGATCGAGTGTATAGCCCAGTTTCTACAAATGAGACTTAATATTGTATTGTAGTTTAAATTGTTTGTGTCTTCAATTTCAATGTTCAAAGATCTACCCCATCTTGTGATATATATGTTCATTAATTGTTGACTCCTATTACAATTATATAACATTGATTTTATATGTTTGAACAGAAACAGGAGGAGTTGAAGCCAGGAGTAGAACCCACAGACATGGACAGTGAACAGCTGATTAATATGGTAAACAAGGCTGTGTCTGCCATCACCACCAGACTACATAGTAAGTATGCACAGACGTGACATGCACTGTGCAATTTTCATCATTAAACACATACATGTATCATATGGCTGACTGACTAAGAATGGAATGTACATGTTTTCAGATGTGGCATGCACTGTGTGATTCTTATCATTAAACACGTTATCATATGGCTGACTGGCTAAGAATGGAATCTAAATGTTTTCCTTCTGTAAAACCTTAGATCCTAAAAGCATCATGTCAACTGCGTAAAATTTCATAAATGAGGCACTGATATACCTGATGTCAAATAAAGGGGGGTGGGAGTGGGTTAAACCATATGCGAACCTCATCTATAGACTGCATGAGAATAATAGAAAAACGTGGAAGGAATGAAAAGACAAGGTTATGCAGTATGTATAATAATGTATAGTCATTGAAAGCACAAATCTTCCTTTCTTTTTAGATTTGGCGACATTTGATGGAGCAGAGAGTCGGGTCAGTACGCTGGTGGCAGCTGCAAACAGCCACGACAACTTGTGTAGAATGGACCCAGCCTGGCATCCGTGGTTGTAGAGGGACACGTTAGTAAAAGGCAGCATGTAGTCCCCCATTGGTGTGTGACAATCTCTTGAAGAATATTCATAGAACTCATGTGTATAATGGACATTTCTTTGCTGGACTTCACATGACTTTGGACTGAAGGAGATACAACTCCAAATGGTTTACATGTATCATTCCCGGCTGGAGGATGATCTATTTTGTCTGAAGAATTTTTTTTTCTATTTAATAACATAACGCTTTTTTTTCTTATTTACATGTGTTTAATTTAGATTTTTGTTGTACTAAGTGTGATTTATATTTTTGACTGTATAAAAAAACGTGTTAAATAAAAATTTATTAAGAGAATTTTTATTGTCGAACACTGAAAGTCTGATTTCTACACAAAGACTTTTCACATGCTTTCAACACACAGGGAACCAACAAAATGAAAAGAAAAAAGAAAATTTGAATGAAAGTAATATGTACATTTAGAAAACTGTTTAGTATGTTGAATGTATTGAAGATGTAACTGTGGTTCTACTATATGTTTCATTTTTGTCATTTTTTTCATGTTTTTTTTTCAAGTATATATCTGTACTATTACTATCCCTTTATTTGAAATCATCTGTAGTATGGATAAAGTGTATTGAGAAATCTTCGTTTATTGGAATAAATCATGCATATCATAGTTGGTTAAAAATTTCTTTCTGATCATGTTGGGGCTATTACAGGATAAATGTATGGGTTGAAAGGCAATTTTATATTTACCCCACTATAGATATTTTTTTGTTTTTTCCCCAAACACCCATTAAAATAAAAATGCTTTTGACTCGCCTAAATTTAAAATAACATCTTGATTTTTCTGCGACAGCTTAAATAAATTAGTGCTCTCTCAGTAGTGTTGTCACGATGATCCATTTAAAATTGCTAATTGATCAGAAAGGCTGTCAATTTTAGACAATTGATTGGAGATTTTAACAATGGATTATAATCAATATATTATTTCAGTACATACCTTTCTTTTTTTTTTTTTTTTATAGTTTTCTCACTTTAATACTTTAATTTCAAGAAATAGCTCCTATCAAAATCATATCTTCCTAGTGTTGTCATTTACCATTTGAACATACTTAAAATCTGGTATAAAATAAAGTATAAGATAATTATATTTGTATTTCTAAACTGAAGAAACTAAACTTTTACATTTTAAAAGGAAATTTTGCTTTCAAAAGACCCACATCAAAATACACTATACCAAACAAGATGTGTTTGTGAAACACTATGCACCCAGCGGCAACAAAGATAAAAAAAAAAGCTAGTTTTAGCATATAGGTCACAGTCAAGGTCACATGGTCATTGACCTTGGCGTTATTTGAAAGAGCATAATTATTGGAGTAGACATACCAAATATGAAGACTCTATCTCCTATGGTTCAAAAGTAATGGCAAAAGTTCGAAAAAGCTATTTTTAGCATATAGGTCACAGTCAAGGTCACAAGGTCATCGACATTGGTGTCATTTGAAAGTGTTTAATTAGTGGAGTATGCATACCAAAAATGAAGTCTATATCTCTCACGGTTCAAAAGTTATGGCGAAGGTTAAAGTTGACAACAGACAGACAAACAGACAGGAGAAAAACAATATACGCCCCGAATCTATCGATTCGGGCGCATAAAAATTAGACGAAAGTATTTACAGAGCTGTGTACTAGTATTATATATTCCGATGTAAAGGTGACAAATTCCCTTACGAAGCTTCAGCTATGTGGAATCCAAACGAAAAACAAAACTTGTATTCTTTATGAGCTGCATGTTTGACATCAGAAAAAAATGTTGCAAATTTGTACTTTAACAATTTCAATGACAGAAAAATAGAACATTTATAAATTCCTGTTGTTCATATTTGCTTTGGAAGAACTTTTGGTTGAAGCAAAATTGAATTATTGTCATCCCGTACAATAATAATTTCTTATATAATACTGTATATTCGGTACGTTGTACAGAAATATTTTAAACTTTATTTTGGTCTTATTGATCTTAAGGGTTTAGATTACATACAGACAAATCATAATAACACATTTTACAAGCAAAATAAAATTTTCAAAATGCAGCTCATATTGCTTTAAAGGTACTTGGTCACAGATTTGAAGTCAATATTTTCTCTATAATATTACGACTTATATATTTTAATAGCATTTCACACAAAAATTAATTAAAAATCTTATTTCATGTAAAAGTTATTAAAACTTCAAAGGATCACTTCATTACAAATAGGGATTTGACCTATAGGACCGGGCTTGGTTTTTTCTCTACAAAAAGCTTGTCGATTTCCGTTCCGATTAATGACATTAGGCTGAATATACATTTAACAATTTGTTTTTTTTCCAAAATCTTATTTCAGTGAGTAGAGGTAGAAGAAACCCTTTCATTGATTTTCTGAGTTTGTTATCTCTAAATGTAATAATTGATATTTGTCTTTACTTCTCATTGTGCATAATGGTAATGTCTACTGTCTCTGAAATTCTATTCTTTATGTCTAGGCTATTGTAATGTTTGGTCATTTCAAGTTTCCATATTTTATTTGTATTTAGAATACAAATATTGGCATATTAATTAAATCCTAAGAATGATTTATAATTTGAGTAATTTGACCGCATGTATTGTATATTTATAAGGTGATGTTCAAAAATTGGATTCACAACTTTTCATGTCTTCGTATGCAAAGTGAAAGTAGAACGAGTATATGTAATACATGCATATCCTTTCGTATTTAATAATGTCCTTGTTGAAATAATTGCATAAATGTTGTAAAAAGAGTAAGATCTACTAGATGTTTTGATTAAATTACGTTTTTCACTAATATTTTACCTGTATTATGCAAGCACATGTTGTAAACTGCAGACAGTCTGTTTTCTATTTACATGGCGGCGCAATGCATTATGGGTGAATTTTCGTTTACTTCTTGATCCGCGCATCTGATATTTATGCGCTGACCGATTTTTGCCTTTACATGGAAAAATGAGCTTTAAGGTAATTAATTATGTTTTATGATGCATTAATGAATTAGAGTTATTGTTTATTCATATTTCATACTTGTTAAAGTAATTTTTAATAGACGGGAACTATTTTCCGTTGTATTTTCCTGCTGGAATTCCGTTGCTTTCCAACGGATTCCGTTGCGTTTTAGAACGGGACCGTTTCCCGAGGGTATATAAGTGAGCTACCGTTGTATAACGGGGACTCCGGATTATTTTGGGTTTAAGATAGGATGTAGGTGAAATTTTAATAACTTTGGGGAAATTTTCTCAATCTTTTTAATTCAGTAAATTGGAGAAGTAATATTTTAGCATTTATTTATTAGAGTCGTTTTAGAAATTAATTATGTCTTAGGGAAGCTCAATATTTTTGGGTAAATTTAGGGTTTAGGGACGTCTGCAGCCACTTTGATTTTTTTTATTGTACTTTCTTGATTGAATCTTGTAAGTGTTTGAACTTTAATTGATTTGTTTGTTAAGAGATTAAGTCAAAATAAACCATCATCTCAAGATATTTGAATCTTATTTTAATTATTTACGGAGTCCATCATTTAATTTAAAAATCAATTGGTTTAAAAAAAGATCAGAAAGTTGTCGGGGGTCAAAAGTATCATTTATTGAGAGCCATCCAGTTACTTATATTTACGGTGTCAGATTTAAGCGCTATCTCGCTACATTTTATTTGGTGTCAGAAGTGGGATCCACTGTTTTAAGGCGTGGATCCAGCGATACGGACTTGCTACAAATGTTAAATTTTTGATTGTATGATACTTCAATTATGTTTACAAGACGCCAGGCAGCTTTGAGAGAACGAATGGACACTGAGACAAACCAAATTATCTGTCCCACGGAAAAAGGGAATTTCACAGAAGAAAGTGAGGAGGAATTTTTAACAGAATATGATGAGGACAACTCCACATGCAACTCAGATGCAGAGGATCATTCAAACACAGAGGATCATTCAAACACAGAGGGTGTACATGTACTGTACCCTGAAATTATAGTACAACCCCCACAAAAAGTCAACAAATCTTCAAATGCAAGTCCTCTCATTTCTAAGAACAAGAGAAACAAGACATACACTAAAAGAATGTCAAGACCCTCAAACCTCACACAAGATAGGAATACTCAAAATGAAGGAAAAGATCCTGACAAGAATGAAAACTCAATAAATCAAAGCCAAACAAATATGTTAGAAACATTTGCTCAAATGATAAATGGAGCACTCAGCAAGATGACTGAGACCATAGGGAATATTTTCAAAACTACTTTAAAAGATTTCAAAGAAAACCCCCATGTCAATAAAGAACACAACAAATCACAGACAAAAAGTATGCTCAACAAGAGTACCAACAAGGACTCAAACAGTGATGAGTCAAGTGATGAGTCTGACTCAGGTGACAATGCAAGTTCTGTGTCTACAAACAGGATTTTCAAAGAAAAACAAGTTTCAGTAAAACTACCTGCTTTCAAAGGAGACCCAGATGAAAGTTGGAAAGCCTACATCAATAGATTTGAGGCTGTAGCCAGTCACAACAGATGGACAGACAAACAAAAGTTAGGACAGCTCTTGCCGAGATTACAAGGCACAGCAGGCGAGTTTGTTTTTGAGGAGCTAAGTTCAGAAATTTTGACAAGCTACAGGAAACTGAGAAGGGAACTTGGGAATCGTTTTGGGGTTTATGAATCTCATAAGACCTTTCAGACAAAATTCAGGAGAAGGGATCAAAGAAATGGAGAATCTGCCCAGTCTTATGGAGCAGCATTAAAAAGCCTCTATAGTAAGGCTTACCCAAATAGAGATCATGTTACACGGCAAGAGGATCTAGTTTCACGGTTTTTACTAGGTCTCATGAATGAGAAGGCTAGAATTTATGTCGAGCTGAACAAAGACCCCTCTACCATTGAGGAAGCTGTCAAGTTTATTATTGAGTATGAGGAGACAACTAGGTACCCCAGAGCAGATGATGAAAATGACCGCTATCACAAAAGGAAACAAATACGACAAGTAGGTCAACAGATGAAACCAGCTAGCTCTCCAAAGGCCACAGACAAAAATCCTAGAATTTTCAAAAAGCCTAAAATGAATCCTAAAGAAACAGAAGGCCAACAAAAACAAACTCCTGAACAGGGCAGTAGAGTCAAACAGAGTCAGAAAAATTCTGATTTTATAACCAGGGCAGAACTAAAGGACATCTTAAATGAAGTCCTCTCCTCAAAATCCTCTTCAAACATTATAGAACAGCCCCGTAAACAGAAGTACCCCCTGATATGTTACCGCTGTGGTGAACAAGGGCATTTTGCAAGGAATTGTTCAAGCGAAAAGAAGGTTCAGAATGGAAATGTGGAGAGTAAACTTAATCCTAGAGCTGCTGAATTTAAATCTTCGTCAAACTAGAAAGGGTCAGCTCTGAGGGCCAAGGGATGACCCGGTTGAATTTTAAAAATGGCCAAACTTTTCAAAATTGTTGTATAAATGAGAAGCGAAATACCTGCTTTGATTTCTCTGGAAGCACAGAGGCAGTAGAGGATAATTTGCAACAAATTAAGGGAGATCACTGCGATTTAGATGAAGATATATTTTATGATGCTGAGAGTATAGGTAGTGGGCCTTGTAAATCTCATGATCAGCGAAAACTTTGTGAAGTGGAGGAGA